GAAAGGAAAGGAAAGGAAAGGAAAGGAAAGGAAAGGAAAGGAAAGGAAAGGAAAGGAAAGGAAAGGAAAGGAAAGGAAAGGGAGACCTGCACCACCACCAAAACTATTATTTCATTTTTTTCTTTTTCAAGGATGGTTTTTGGTTTGCTCGTCGGTTGCTTTGCTCTCCTCAGCTGCTCATGTCGCCAGGTTCTCTGCATTTATGCTGGACATCCGAATCTGAGAGCTGCTCTTGCTCAGAATGGAGAGTTGTGTCCCCCCGTTCACTCCGCTGCTCGCTAGAGAAGGATGGCGATGTTTGAAATCCACAGCAAAATACCGGTTGACTTTCCAGCTCCTCCATTTTCTCTTTATTTCTGATTGCACCTTTAGGGAGAAACTTCAAAAGGTCATTTTTTATGTACTTAGCCGCTCGAGGACATGCTGACAAATTATCAAGATTAGAAAAAACCCCACAATTCGACAGAACTATTTTTAAGGTTATTATTAAAGTCCTCATTTCAGCAAAATCTGAAGTCACTTCTCCATGGCTGGAAGAGGTCTGGGCTTGTAGTGGGGTCAACTACAGCCCAGCCCAGGTTCTGTGTCTGACTTCAGATAATTGAGGATCAGCCCAGAGGTGCATGGAAGACCTGATCAACACCACCTGGAGGAAAAAATAGCTTGTTTTCATCACTGGCCAGTACCAAAGATATAATAAGGAGCCAAAGAAACCAGAAATCATAAAGTACTGCATAATATTGAAACATCCTGTCCACAGAGGCAGCTTCTCTCACCTGCCATTAATGGATGGATGTTTATAGAAAATTTTGCCTCCTGCTCTCAGATCCTCTCCAAGCAGACCAGCTCTGGGGTTAATGCACATCTGCACCACCCTACTTTTCTTGAGAGGTTTTCTTTTTTATGGGCACCCACAGTAAATCACCAAAAGTAAAACAATCCAAGGTCAGAAGTTTAATTAGGCATTAAGTAAATAATCCCACAGCTTTTCTACTTTTCACTTATTACTCCTGGAAACACTGCTGGTGTGTGTATAAATATATAAAGTAGTAAAGATTTTATATAAGAGAGATCGTAGTAGCTCAGACCAACATTTACTTGATTACTCATTCCTGTATCATATTTCTGAATGAAATAGTATAAGAACAAGGAAATATGTAGAGATGTTTTCCCAATATATTTTTCCAGTCTCCAATGAGCTGCTGTGTCAAAGACATTTGTCTTGTCTCTAACAGTCATTGCTGGATTTTCCTGGATTAATATTGTCAAAATGGATCAGTATAAGTCAAAATGCTAAACAAGGGCTTCAACTGTATGGATAAAAACTACAGGGAGGAAAAATCCAGCTGAAAAACTTACATTCTTCTTCTAGGACCTCGGAATTCCTATTTTGATTAAAGCATAGATATTTTAGATTAGAAAGAGTATGGAGTTATATTATCCCTGTAAAAAGGGAATAGTGTTTGCCTCTGGAAGAGTGTGATATTCCCAATATTTCCTTGCTGTTGGAAATTTAGTGGAGGCACAAGACTTCTCTAATTATCATTTTCTGATATCTTGAGAGGGAAAATGGTTTTAATTAACCTGGATGTGATGGTTTGGCTAAGAACCACCCCCCTACTCCTTCCAAAGGGCCTCAGGAGATCTTGACTATGCCCATGAGCAAAGATAACCCCTAAGTTTGTTTGATGAGTTTGGAGATTGTTGTGGTTTATCTGAGAAGGAATCACTCAGATTAAGGAGTTTGAGACTTTTTTGTACCAGAGATCAGCAATGCCAGGCTATACCTGCACTCAGTCCCCTTGAAGAAAAGAAGAAAAGAAAGTGATTTTAGGAAAAGACTCCAATTGTTGGGCTGCACAAAAGATGTGTAGCCGTGGAGGAGAGAATGGATGAACTCTAGATGTTCCATGTTCCTCTTAAGGCAACATTGAGCAGGGAACCCTTTTCCATCAATTCAGAAAACAATTACCTCAGACAGTCAGTCTGATAAACAGGCAGGGAAATGCAGATTGGAACAGGAGAACCAGAAAAAACCCCAAATGTGGCCAGCAGCAGCAGCAGTGATTGCCATGTGATTGCAGAGAGGAGTGTGAGGCTTGCAAGGCACCCAGGTGGTGTCTGGGGATGGCTCTGGGCATCTGGCACCCTTGGGCTGTGTGTGTGTAGGGATGAAGGTGGCAGGGCTCAGGACAGAAGCTGGAACCAGTTGGGTGGTGCCAGCAAAAGAGGCCAAGGAACCACAAAAATTCAGACTTCAGTGAAGGGTTTGATGCTGTTTCCCTCAGCCCTTTCTTAGGAAAGCTGGCAAGATTTAGAGTGGGTGGATGGTCTGCAAGAGGGGAAGGAGACCACGCTGAGAGGTGAACAATGGTTTTTATTTAGCCTGGCACTTTAATGATGTCCTTCAGGTATTGATATTGGACCCATACTGTTCCACATAGAGCATGGAAATGTTTGGGTTGGAAGAAACCTTAAAGGTCATGTCCTTCCACCCCCTGCCATGGGCAGGGATATCTTTCACTATCCCAAGATGCTCCAAACCCCATCCAGCCTGGCCTTGGACAATTCCAGGAATGAGGCAGCCACAGCTTCTCTGGGAACCTCTGCCAGGGTTCACCATCTTCATCAGAGTCTCAGTGATGGGACTGAAAGCAGCACCACCAATTTGGCTGGGGTTCCACACTGGGTGGTGACAGGGACATGTCAGACCTCTTGGAGAGAGCTGAACAGGCTGGGAGAGTGGGCTGGCAAGAACAGGGCAAAGTTCAACAAAACCACTGCAAAACTGTGCACCTTGGATGACATTTCAAAGAGACCTGTCCATATCCTAGCCCTGTCAGGAATCCTTAATCTGAGCC